GGGGGGGGGTCAGATGGGGGCAGACGGCACCCCCCGACCCCCCTCCGCCTCCCCGTCCCACCTTTCACGTTGCCGCCTTCGATGACGCACTTCATGGCGACGGGGATGCGGGGAAAGCACGTGGACGGCCGCCCCGCCCCCTCGCCAGGCCGCGCCCCCCACCCCCTCGGAGGGCCGCGTCGTGGCCCCGCCTCTCCCCCTCCCCCACGCCCGGTGGTCGCGTCCGCCGCCCGCAGCGCCCCCCCGGCAGCGCCCTGCGCGGCCCCGCCCGCCCCCGCGCCCCCACCGGCCCCGCGGAGCCCCCGCCCGCCTCACTGACGCGCCGCGCCGCCACCTTCCCCACTCCCACGCCCGCCGCTCTCCCATTGGGCGGAAGCTCGCCTTCTTCCCGCCCCCGCCGGCGGCCCATTGGTGGCCCCGGCCTCGTGACGGCGTCCAAGCCGCGAGCATCGCCTCACGTGACACCGGGGGCGGGGCCTCGCTCCCAGCCCTGCCCCCTCCGCCCCTCGGCGCGCTCGAGGGCGGGCCCTCTCCGGCCGGCCCGCTCGCTATTGGGTGGTGGAAAACGGGCGCCACCGCGGATTGGAGAACGGCCGGAGCGACGTGCCGTGTAGCCAATGGGGCCTCGAGGAGCAGAGGCGGGGAGAGGCCGAGTGCGCTCCCCTCAGGCGATGGGGACCGGTGGGCCGGGTGGGGGGCCGTGCAGCGCCGGCCCGGGCGCGGTTTTCCCCTCAGGCCCTCCGCCTCAGGCGGGGTTTCCTCCGGGCCTCTCTGGTTTCCCACAGCCCAACTTCGGCGCTGCGCCTTTCCTACTGCCCCAGCGCGGAAGGGCTCCTCAGCTGTCAGCAGCGCCTATAGGTGAGTGCCGCGGGCACGGCTGCTCTTCTTCCTCCTGCTCTGCCCACGGGGCCCTGAGGCCTTCGGGCCCTCAGCAGCTCCCCACCAGTTGCCCCCAATGCAGGGGGGACCGGGGCGCCCCTGGGCAGCAGTTGGAGCTGGCTGCCTTCCTCGGTGCACAATGGAGAGCCTCCCAGCGTCTGGGGCTGTGGGTGTCTGGGGTCAGAACCCTTCCTGGTACTGCAAAAGGTCGTCGGTGGGAGGCGAGGGCGAAGTGGCTGCCGGTGCCGTGGCCGTGGGCAGGGGAACGGCCCTCCTGAACCTGCATTCCAGGGGTCTGAAGGCTGACGGGGAAACCAGGCAGCCAGAGCACAGTGTGTCAGCAGGCAGCTCTGTCCTGGTGGCCAGAGGGAGGCGACGAGCTCCCCAGTGCTGTGGGGTGAATCCCTGGGATCCCCTGGCACATGGGAGGGGCAGCAGTATCACACTAGTGCCTGCAGCTGCAGCCCTGCCGGGCACTCCCCAACGCTTTGGGGCAGATGGCAGAGGTGAGGACATTCCCCTTAGCATTGGGGCTGCCGTAGCTTTGCCCTGTTGCACGGGGGACATGTAGCAGCACTGCTGTGTGTGGTTCACAAGGGCCTTGTCTTCTGGCTGTCCATCCTGGCCGTGCATCTCCAGCTGGCACCCAGTGCTTCGTGTGCACACCGGGGTGCCGGCCCCACATCCCCAGTATGAAATTCCCCCTTGTTTACTGCGTGCCGGTGGCAACAAGAGTGGGGCTGCACCTTCCTGGGGATGCTCCTTCTTGGGGCTGCTGCATCACGCTGGCTGCTGGCAGCCGGCAGTCCCACGGGGAAGATGCTGGGTGGAGGGAGAGAACAGTGGGAAGGCGCCTGGTGCACGGGGCAATGCTGGGCTGTGTGTGCTGCCCTTGGCTGCAGTCACCTGCTGGCCCCGCTACTTAGTGCTTCCCGAGGGGCTCCGCCCCGGGGCTCACTCACCTGCCTCTGCCCCTGAGCTGCCATCAGAAGAAAGCAGAGGAGTTACGCTGGTGGTCCGCGTAGCTGTGCCGGTCCAGCTGTGCTGCCCCGTCCCCCTATTGCCCGCCCTCCCTGCCGCCCTTCCACCCCTCCGCCGCCTCTCTCCGCCTCCCCCGTCCCTTGCCTGGCACCCCCCCCCCGTGAGCCATCCCCTCTCCGAGGCGGTGAGAGCGCTCAGGCAGCCCGCAGCCCCTGGCCTGCCGGCCCCGGGACCCCGTGGGGAGCAGGGCCGACAAATGGGAGTGTGGAGCTCGGACCCGGCGCAAGCAGCCCCACAGCACCTTCAGTACGGAGGGCGGGATCCCCCCCCAACCCCGTGCTGCTGCCAACCCCCGGGTTGCCCCTATGGATTTCCGAGCAGGTAGGAAGCAGCCCCCCACCCGCCACCCTGTTCTGCTCCCCATCGCGGCCACTAACAAAAGGCAAGAGGCAGCCAGCACCTGGGGGCTGATGTGGAGAGGGAGTCGCTCCCCCCCCCCCCATCCCCTCTACCGCAGACCCCCAGTACTTGGGCTTTGCTCCCTGCCTTGGGGGAGCCTGCTGTGGCCACAGCCTCCCCAGCATGCCTGGGGAGCCCTGGGGGAGTCTCGGGGAGAGGGAGGGGAATGAATGGAGCCCGTTCTTGTGTCCAATTGCATCAAATACATTCTTGAAAGCAACCTGGTTCTGCTTAACACTTGAATTTCGAGAGAGAGGAAAAAAAAGAAAAAAAGAAAAAAAAAAAAAAGGAGGGGAGGAAAAAAAAAAAGAAAAAAAAGAGAGGCAGCAGCTTGGAGAGAGGGTGTATGCAAGCTCGCGTTTTTTTTATTCTTGCATTCCTGGACACCAATCAAAAGAGCAAATCAAGGGAGGTGGAAGGGGGAAAGGCAGCAAGCAGGGGAGCCGGAGCGTGGTGCGAACCGTGCACACACTCACACACCAAAAACACGCAGCCCAGACTGCTTCTGCCACCTAACACTCAAGCAAACACAAACCAAAACAAATAGGGAGAGAGGAAAAAAAACCAAAGGAGAGCCGGGGCAGAGTGGAGCAGCAACCTCGTCTGTGTGTCCATCGGTGCGGGGCTGAGCGCTGCAGCAGCACATTGCTGGGCTCCCCACGCCTGCAGACCCGCGCCCTGACTCTACTATGCTAAATGTGGCTGGGGAGCCCCCAGGTAAGAGCGGGGCTATGGGGTGGGGGTCCGCCGCGCCGACTGCTGCCGACTGTAACTCCATTTGATTCAAACGTCCGTCTGGCTTTGGGATTGATTTAAGGCTTTTCCCCCCCTCTGCTCTCGGGGTTTTTTTTTTTTTGGTTTTTTTTTTTTTCTCCTTTCTCTTGTTGCCTCTTTTCCATGCATGTTTGTGATTACCGGGCAGGGAAACGCTGCTTAGCATGGAGAATTAAAACCTGAGACTGACAGACGAGAGGAAAAAGGAAAGTCCCCAAGCTTGGGTTTTACTCGTGGGGCAGGCGGGCACCGCAGAGGGCAGTACCCAGTGGGATGTGGTGGCCGCTTTCAGGGTGCCAGGAAATCCCCCCCTCTGCGGAGCTCCCTCTGGCCACCAGAAGGCTTTGTTACCCTGGGGCCATGGGGAGCCAAGGGCAGCGGGGCTGCCGGGCACGGAAAGGACGGGGAAAAAGTTGGAAAACAACCCTTAAAAGGTCAGACTGTGGGCGCTGGTGGCCCTGGGGCTGGAGACACGAGGCCGAGGCCACGTTTTGTTCTGGCTCCTATGGAGCTGGAGCCATTCGGGGGGAGCTGGAAAAGCGGGGCTGGTAGCCGGGGGTCTCCCGATTCTCCCTGATCCTGGCCCGACATCGTGGAGGTGGTGGCAAACCAGTGGCACCGGGAGGCTGCCGGCTGTGGCCTGTGCTCACAGCACGGCCGGCGGCACCAAGAGTTGCTGCCACGGTTGAGGCCGAGAGCAGCCCAGTGACAGCCCGGAGACACGGCTCAGGGCTGCCGTGCTGCTGCCGGGAAGCGGTGTCCCTGCGCCTCGTTAGCAGGCGGCGTGAGGGCACGGTCCTACACACATCTGGGCTGCATTAGCCCCAGCCCGCCAGCAGCCTCCGAAGGGAAATGCAGAGGGCTCTGCTTACAGGATTGCGCCGGGGAAGATTTATGCCCTGCTAAGTGGCACGGTGCACCATAAATCACCCCCTGCCCTGTGCCCACCTGCCTCGAGCCACAAGAGTGAGCCCGACTCCGCAGCCCCTTGGGTGCCCACGCAGTGCCAATGGACGCTTCCCAGTGGGGATGCGGAGGTATGCCTGTGCTGGCACATCTGGGATGTCCAGCATGCCAGTCCTGCCAGCTCCAGATACCCCTGGTGATGGGTCTGCACCCCTACCTGGCACTGCCGGGGCACGTGTGGCTGGCACGGATCACGGGGCTCCTACCGGAGCCACCGGCCCTGCCTTTGCCAGTGTCCCCTTGGCACAGGGTGCTGGAGGAAGCTGGCAGCGATGGCAGCATGTCCAGAGGTAGCAGGGGATGGGAGGTGGCATGGGGCTCTCTGTTGCCACACCGGGACTATCTGCCTGCATCCTTAACGGTGACCCTATGCACCTCGTGCTGCCCGCAGGGGAGCCCCCGGTCCCCCCGCTCTTGGCCCCCGCAAGCTGTTTCCGCTGCAGGCCGGAGAGGGGCCAGGCTGCCTTTGGCGCTGCGCTGTCCCTGGCTCTGCTGCCGCTCCCAGCACAGCTCCACAGCCCTCGGCGCTGCTGGGGACACGGGAGGGGTTTGGGCGTCTGCGGTGCCAGCAGGGACACTGGGTGCCTGTTGGGGGTATGGGGTGCCGGTGGCTCTGGGTGCCGGTGGGCCGCATAGGGCTCTGCTGCCGTTGGTGCTGCTGGGATCCAGGTGGGCGCCAGCCGAGGTGTGGGATCTGGTCAGGATTAGGGGCTGAGCCCCCATCTCCGGCAGGAGGGGGGTGACACAGTGCCGCGGGCTGGGGCCAGATGGGAAATCCAGGCCCCGCTAATTATGGCCTCGCTGGAGTCTCCCATGCACGGATGCATTTATAAACACACGGAGGAGACAGGATGTAAACATTCAGTGTGAGCTGCGAGTACATGCATGGCCAGGGGGGTGTGGAGCCGGTCTCCCCCTGCACCCCTGTGCTCCTGCACACTTCTTGGCCACCATCAGGGATGTGGCTTCGCTCTCAGTAAGGCAGCGGGGCGGGGGCAAGGCACAGAGCCCTGGGGCTGCGGTTGGTCTGGGGGCCCCCCCTGCTCCCCACTTGCATCGAGGGGTGTCGAAGCACAGTGAGGGCAGGATGCGTGCCTCTCTCCTGCCAGCACCTGGGGACTGCAGGGTGCAGGTGTTGCTGTCAGCGCCATCCTCACGAAGGCACGTGGGGAGAGCCACACTGGGGGCAGCCGAGGCCACTGCCATTGTCTGCTTCATCTCCGCTCCTCAGCGCCGTGCTCACGCTGGGACATCCCAGCTCCATTCCACCTCACAGTACAGGGCTCTGTTGTCCCTTGGCCTCTAGCCCATCAGATAGAGCTGCTCCCTGGATTCAGGGGGCAGGGGTCCCCTTTCCCCAGCCCACACTCTGCTTTGCTCAGTGCTTTTGGGAAAGCGGCGCCTGTGGCTTGTGGTTACGCCTGACCCCAGCAGCTCGCTGCCCACTGCGTGCCCGGGGAACAGCTCAGCGTGCACAATGGCAGCAGTCGCTCATGGGGGGTCTGCTTGGCGGCGGGGGGGCTCACAGCTCTGCACTGTTCCGCGCCTCCAAGGCCACCCACGGGTGACGTTCCCTGCTGTGACGCACAGGGGTACTGTCGGATGAGCTGTCCTGCTGACGCTGTTGTTGGCCCCCTCAGTGTCCGGCACGTGTGCATGGGGTGACGTGCGCTGCCAGGGTGGCCACCTCAGCTCTCCACCTGCCCCAGAGCTGCCCTGTGCTTTGCTTACGTGGGCTGGGAGCATCCTGGCCCTGCTCCAGGGGCGGTTTTGAAACCCTTGGGCTCTTCCTCTTGACATCACTGGGATCCAGCTGTGCTGGTCTCCTCCTTCCCTCTGGCACAGAGGCCACGCGGCCGCTGCCTTGCGCTGGTGCTGAGTCATTTTCCACCCGAGATGGGCAGGGGAGTGTGACTGTGCCACTATGGGAACCATTTGGGGCCGTGAGGCCACCGCTGAGCGAGCAGGGCTGCGCCACGGTCAGGTCATTGCCACCACCACGGCTGCAGATTCCTACCGTTGCCCAGCTCTGGTTATCCACGCCCCAGTGCCCGCATCCTCATCAATGCCTGGGAGCTACCAGCTCTGTCTTCTTCCCTGTCCCAGCCCCCCCAGCTCTGTTTGCCTTGGCCACGCGGTGCCTTGGGCCGGGTGTAAATCCCACTCTGGAAACCCGAGCTGGTGGTGGGTGAGGGTCCGGCCAGCCCTGCTGCGCCGCACGGGGCTGTGAGTGCCTGTGCCGGGCTTGGACGCGCCGGGGCCGAGCCAAAGCAAACACCCGGGGGCGGGTGAGTCAGCGCCACGCGGCCCCCCTGCCGCCCGTAGCCCACGCTCACACGCTCACTCGCACGCACACAGCAGCGCACACCACGCTCACCATACCGGGACCCGGGGATCGGTCATGCACTGGCAGCTCCGCATGGCACAGCCACAGGCACGGAGTGGCACCCGTGCGTGGTCACCAATGTGCGTGCTGCCATGTGCACGGCGTGGCACATCATGACTGGGACGTCCTGCATGGTGTGCACTGCTCCATGGTGTTTCCATACACGCCGTGCCACGTGTGTGTGATGCGCATTACACTGTGTGCATTGCGTGCCCGCGGGGCATCGTGCACCACTGTGAGCCTGGTGCTGGGTGGGCAAAGCCGGGACGCGTGCCACGCGCTGGAGCTGGTGCTGCCGCAGCCGGGATGTCCCCACGGGCCCACGTGCGTCACCAGGGCTTGGCTGCTCCTCACTTCCCAAGCCTCCCAGCAGCAATTGACGGGGAGTGGTGACGCACGAGGGCACTGCAGGGCTCCCAGCCGCCCTCGCCTCCCTGGGGAGCCCACTGCAGGCTGTGCCGTGCCGAGCTGAGGTCTTCCCAGCAGAGGCCTCAGTAAAGGTTGCTCCATGCCCGGCTGCCTTGAGCCCTGACTGGCCCCTGGCTCCCAGCAGGGCAGGGATGGGGATAGGGACGAGGATGGGATGTGCTGCTTCAGCCCTGCAGGGCGCCCAGCATGCTGTGCTTAGGAAAGCAACCAAGCCTGCTTCGGCATTGGTGGTAGGTGACTCGGCGTTCCCAAATATAACCCGGGCGTCCCGGCGGGAGCACAGCAAGCAGCACTCACTTGAGACCATATAAAGGATTGTTTCTGCAGCCCATGGTCGGCAGTGCACAGAGTAGAGGCCATGCCGGATGGGCACGGTGGCATTGGTGGGGCTGACATGGTGTCCCTGAGGCCCCTGCTGCACTGCTCCTTGTTTCCTGTGCTGGGTGCTGAGCACTGCCACTCCATGCCCAGCCCTTCCCTGCCTCAGTTTCCCCATATGCAGGGTGGTGATGAGCACACTGGCAGCACAGAGTCCTGAGGTCCCAGCAGTGCTGTGCCGGAGCCCAAGGGCAGAGCAGCCCCATGGGTCCCTGTCACCACATGGGTGGGAGGTGCTGTGGGCAAACCCAGGGTCTCCACCCCCTGGGGGGCCAGGGGATGTGGGGTGGGCAGTAGAGTGTTACTGGAGCACTGCTGCATCCTCAGTGCCATCGGGGTGCCCCAGGTCCCCTTGCCAGGAGGATCCTCTCTGAGGTGCCTTGTCCCCACAGGAGACTCTTGGGGGATCTTTGCCTTTCTGTGTGCCGCACTCTGCAATCTGCCAACGGTGCCCGCGCTGAACGGCACGGAGGAGCTGGGTGCCGGCCAGTCCATCCAGAAGACCTACGACCTGACCCGCTACCTGGAACACCAGCTCCGCACCCTTGCCGGCACTTATGTGAGTAGCTCACCACTGCCCCTTCCCTTAAACTGCTCATCCCCCCCAGCCTGGGGAGGTTCCAGCATCCCCAGGGCATGGCACTGGGATGTAGATGAGAGTACACCTGTATGCACGAGACTGCGTGTTTCCACCCATGCTGGAGGCCAAGGAAATGCCTCATCAGACAAGGGCAGTGGCCAGGGGAGCCTCCCTGTGCCGGAGGCCCTGGACTCTGGTCCAGGAACATCTTCACACCCCTTGCTCCCCCCCCTCCACCCCACCCAGCTCTCCTTGCCTGCCAGTGGCACCAGCCCAGGTGGAGGTTTCGCTGTCTCTGCCCTGATGTGCCCCCCCCTTGCTGCTGATGATCATGCTGTGGGAATGGTGAACGTGGAATTGCTGTCTCCACATTGCTGGTGAGCTCTGGCTGAGCTCCCCTGGGTGCCTCATCTGCCTGGAGGCAGAGGGCAGGTGGGAGATGTGGGTGCAGACACCTGGAATATGGGCGCATGGAAGACTGGGGACCTCCATGGTGCTCAGGGAACTTGGAGACATGGAAGCCAGGGGCACGATGGGGACAAGGTGACATGGTGGGTGTGTCTGGGTAGGGGATGTGGATATGGAAACTTGGGATGTGGGGGCACATGGAGAATGTGTGGACATGGTGGGCATGGCGCTGAGGGACATGATGGCAGGGGAATGTGGAAACTAGGGGTAAGATGGGGACAGGGAGACATGGTGGGCTGGTGGGCATGTCCAGGTAGGAGACACGAAGTTCTGGGATGTGAGGTGTATCATGTGCAGGGAGACATGGGGACTGGGGGCATGAAGGTCGTGGAGATCTGGAACGTTCTGTAAAGGAGAATGCGGTGTGCAGGGGAATATGGAGACAGGAGAGGTATCGGGCACCTGTACCTGGGGAACATGGAGACCTGGCATGTGGACACCTGTGGTTGCGCACAGGGAGAACTGGGGACATGGAGGGCACGGAGACCTGGGCCGTGATGGGCAGCGGGATCTGAGACTGGAGACGCAGTGGCACGGAGACTTGAGACGTGGTGTGCAGGGGGATGCAGAGAGCTGGGGTGTATTGGGCATTGGGCGGAGAGACTTGAGGTGTGTGTGACACGGGTGCCAGGGACACGTCGGCCCCCTGACGACTCCTCCCCTCCTTGCAGCTGAACTACCTGGGCCCGCCCTTCAATGAGCCCGACTTCAACCCCCCGCGGCTGGCGCGGGCTGAGCGGGTGCCCAGCGCCACGGTGGACTTGGACCTGTGGCGGGGCCTGACGGACAATGCGCGCCTGGCAGCCAACTACCGCGCCTACAGCCGCCTGCTGAAGTACCTGCGTGGCCTGGACGGCCAGGTGGGCACAGTGGAGCTGCGCCATCGCCTCGGCCACTTCTGCTCCAGCCTGCAGGGCCTGGTGCTCAGCATCGCCGGCGTCATGTCTTCCCTGGGCTACCCGCTGCCTGCTGGCCCCGCCGGACCCCCGCCCTCCTCTGGCACCCCTGCAGCCCCCAACGACTTTCTGAAGAAGATGGATGACTTCTGGCTGCTGAAGGAGCTGCAGACGTGGCTGTGGCGCTCGGCCAAGGACTTCAACCGCCTCAAGAAGAAGGTGCCTCCAGCCGTGGTCACGCTACGCATCGAGGCCAGGGGCCTCTGAAGGCCCCCGCCCTACTGAGGGGATCCCCACAGCAGTGGCCGCATCGTGTCACCGCTTGGCCGTCGTGGATGGGGATCGCTTTAGTGCCACCGAAGCCACCATCACCGCTTGGCCTTAACGGATGGGGATCCTGACCCCAGAGTGCTACCAAAGTCACCGCACATATTCCTCGCCACCTCACTGTGCCTTGAGAGATGAAGTTCCCGATCCCAAAATGCCACCAAAGCCACTCCAAGTCCCCGCCGTCACCACTGTGTGTTTAGGGACAGGTCCCCTCATCGTAAAGTGACACCAAAGCCACTCCACGTCCCCACTGTCGCCACTGATTTAACAGATGGGGCTCCAGACTCTGAAGTGCCGCCAAAGCCACCCCACGCCCCTTCTATCCCCAGAGTGTCATCAAAGCCACCCCACATCCCCAGCATCACCGCTGTTCATTAAGGGACAGGTCTTCTGATCCCAAAGTGCCACCAAAGCCTTCCCACATCACCACTGTGCCTTAACAGATGGTCCTTCTGTCCCAAAGGGCCATCAAAACCACCCCACATATACACCATCATATTGCCGTGCCTTGACAGATGGGATTCCCGATACCAAAGTGCCACTGAAGCCACTGCATGTCCCCACCATCACCTCTAGGTCTTAAGAGATGGGGATCTTGATCTCAAAGTGCCACCGAAGCCACCCAGCATCACCACTGTGCCTTAATAGATGGGGCTCCTGACCACAAAATCCTAAGGGACAGGGCTCCCAGACCCCACAGACCTCCCCGCATCACCCACAGTACCTTAAGGGACGGGCACTCAGCCCCAGAGAGCCACCACGGTGTCCCATCATCCTGCCCTGCCTCGGGGGACGGCCTCCTGCCCCCAAGCGCAGCCGATGCCGCCCTGCTACCACCTTGCAGTGCACTGACACAAGGGGCGGTGACACCGTGGTGTCCCCGTGGCCGCGCTGTGCCACCCGCTCCCCTGTAGGGCCGGGAGCCGCGTTCTCCTGCCCTGCCCCACGGCAGCAGTAAGCCCCGCTTAGCCATGAACGGACCAAACCCTGCATAGGAATAGGCCCCGCCCCCAGCGCAGTAAGCCCCGCCCACCCATCGCGAGCACAGCTGGGTGCCCGAAGCTCCGCCCCTCGTCACCACCGTTGCCTAGCAACCCGCAAGCCCCGCCCACTTTGGCCCTGGGGGGCGGGGCTTGTTCTGGGGGCGGGGCCGGGGCAGAGCCCCAGGGCCACCGTCTCGGTGCGTCTATGCGTGTTTATTTATTGGAGATGTTATTTATTAGGGTATTTATTGCAGAAGATCTATTCTTGTATTAACAAATAAAAGCCTTTCTCCAGTGCCTCTGCCCCCTGCCCCGTGCCTCCCGGCAGAGGGGCCCCGAGGAGCTGCCCATAGGGGCACGGCTGAGTGGGTCCTGCCGTGCCTCCAGTCAGCACCGCCACCTCCGTGCCCCACGGCCCCGTTGAGGATGGGGGATGGTGGCAGCAACCACAGCAGCCTGCCACGTGTCAGGGTGGAGGTAGGGGGGCCGAGACACCCGGGGTAGGACCGGGCACCAACGTGCCATGTAGACAGGGATGAGATTGGGGGCCACTGTGCCAACCCAGGGATGGCGGCGTGGACCAACGTGCCACCAAGGTATGGGACTCGGACCCCTGTCCCACCTGGTGGTGATGGGACTGGTGACCCCCATGGCAAGCAGAGCTCAGTTCATGGCCAACCCCCCCATGTCCCTGTCGCCATCAGAGCAGGGCTATGGGTGGCCCCATCAACATACAGTGAGGGCATGGGAACCCCCAGGTCCCTGTCACCACATTGAGGTGACGCTGAGGATATGTGAAGCAGCAGGGTGCCACGTGCCCTGCGCCCGGCGGGATGGACCCTGCCCATCACCACCCCCAGGGACACTCTGGCCAAGGGGCACTCACCCACCCATGACGGCCACTGGCAGCCTCGAGACACATCACATCACCGCCTGCCCACAGCCACAAGGTGAGTAACGGCAATGGGGATGGGGATGGGGTGCTCGGGTGTCCCCTCACTGTTGGCTCCCTGGCAGGGCCATGCAGATCCTGACGTGCCCGGCCCATTTGCAGCGTCTGGAGGCTGCCCTGCGCAGCAGCCTGCCTCGTTCCCTGCCGGTGAGCCACCCACAGCCGCCCCTCCACCATGGGGGTCGTGGGCCACCCCGTTCCCTCCCTGACACCCCCGGGGCACACAATGCCAGGCCATTCCCGAGCACCGTGAGCCTGCCCCAGCCGACCCCAACCTGCCTGAGCTCTGCCACCCGCTCAAGGGCAGCCCGTCTTCGGGCTTTGCAGGTGTACGGGGCCGTGCTGAACATCAACCGTGGCAACCCTGGGGACTTCGAGGTGGCAGTGGATGCCTGGCCCAACTTCAGTGCTGTGCTGGCGCGGCACAGAGGAGAGGTAGCCAGGGGGGTTGTGGGGAGGAGGGGACCCGTGCCCACGCTGGGGGGCTCAGCATCCCGCCCCACAGGCACCGCTGAATGACAGCTACAGGAACCTGTGCAGCGCCTTCTACCGGGATGTGGGCGCCTACCGGGCCCTGCTGGAGAGCCCGGGCTGCCTGCGCTGGGACTCCGCTTTCCACATCTTCGGTGGCTGTGGGGACAACCATGGGGACGCGGGAGGAACGAGGAGTGATGGGAGCGGGGTGGTTGTGTCAGGAACGGGTGGTGCTGGGAATGTGCAGGGCACGGAGGGCAGTGTGGGAACATGGGGGAGCGGAGCCCTTGCTGCTGCTGTCCCCAGGGCTGCAGGATGGCGTGCTGACGGTGTCTCAGGACATTGCAATGGCCAAGGGCATAGAGCTGGAGGTGACTGAGTACTACACCTACCTGCACCCTGACCCCAGCACTCTACCAGAGCCACAGTGAGCCTCAGCCCCATCTCCTTCTGTGTCTCCATCCCTGTTCTGTGTCTTCGTCTGGTTTCCATTCCAGTCCCTGTCCTATACCCCATCCCATTCCTGTCCACAAGTCATTCTTGCTCCATCCCATATATGTCCCTAAACTCATCCAGCAGCCATTCAAGCCCTGTCCCCATCTCATACCCATCCGTGCTCATGTCCTCATTCTAATGCCAATCCTAAATGTAACTAATGGTAACTCTAGCCCATCCCTGCTCCATCCCATACATGTCCCATCCCATCCCCAGTCGTGGTCAGGCCCCGGTCCCATTCCAATCCACGGCCACATCCCCATCCTAACCTTAACCCTAACTGCAACCATAACCTTAACGCTAACCCATCCCATCCATGTCCCCGTCCCCACCCCCACGCACCCCCTTGCTCCCGTCCCACCCCCTCCCCATGACGCCCAACACCACCTTGCAGGCTGGACCCTGACCTGCAGCTGGGCACGCTGAGCCCGGCGCACGTGGAGCTGCTGGACTCAACGTGGCCGTACGGGGGGAACGCGTGGAGCCGGCGCTACCTGGGGGAGCTGCTGCGCCGATTCCCCTACCTATGCCTGCAGGACCCGGCCGGGGATCTCCTGTGCTGGGTGCTGAGCGATGGCTTCGCAGCGGGAGCGCACGGCTACACGGTGCCGGCCCAGCGGCGCCGCGGACTGATGCGGGCGCTGACGATCATGGCTGCCCGACGGGCGCACGGCCGCGGCTTCCCGGTGTACGGCCACACGGCCACGGGGAACCGGGGGATGCAGAGGCTGCAGGAGGATTTGGGGCACCGCCGGGTGCCGGGGCTGTGCCGCTTCGTGCTGCACAACCCTGCCCTGGCGCGGGCTGCGCCCTGAGCGCCCCCGGGGAGAAACGTGTGAATAAAAGCAAACGAACCGAAAAGACCCGCAGCGAATGAACCGACTGCAAAATAAAAAGAGAACGAGCGAAAAACAGCAACAAGCGAAGAAACACTGACAAAAAAAAAAAAAAAAAAGAAAAAGAAAAAACGAACCAAGCGATCAAGCGTGAACGACGTAAACAACCGAAAAGGTACCAAAAGCGAAGCGCCAATGAATGACCCGACCGAATAACCGAGACAGAACGGCCAAAAAAATACAAAAAAAAAAAGACCAACGAAAAAGATTAAAGAGAAACCACACCCCCCCCCCAAGGCAAAAACACCCGGAGCAAAACCGAAACCGAACCGCCCCGCTCGCTGCCCACGGGACGACAGCGGCGGGAGGACGGCCGGGCGGCGGTGCCGGAGGGGGACGGGAGAGCGGCGCGGGGTGAGCGGGGGTGAACGCGGGGCCGGGGGGGGGCGGCGGGGAGCCGTGCGGGGCTGAAGCCGCCGCCGCCGCCTCGCAGGGCATGGAGCGCGCAGGGCGGATCACCGACAGCTTCCCGCGGCGGCACCGCGCGCAGACACGCGCCGACGGCAAAGAGCGGAGCGCGGCGCGGCGGCGGCGCGGCGGAGACGGGCGCCACCGGGGGGTCCCGCCGACCCCGCCCCCGCCGGCCACCCCCCGCCCCGCGCCGGAGGACGGCCGGGACCCCTCCGCCCCGCCACGCGAGGCCCCGCCAGAGCTGCTGGAGATGCTACGGCAGTTCGACCTGGCCTGGGAGTACGGGCCGTGCACCGGTGAGCCGCCGCGCCCCGACCCCCCCCAGCCCGGCCCTCGTCCCGTCCCCGCCGCTCACGGCCGCTCCCCCCCGCAGGCATCACCCGGCTGCAGCGCTGGGAGCGGGCGCGGGCGCTGGGGCTCAGCCCGCCGGCCACGATCCGCGACGCCCTGCTGGAGCACCGCGACGACCCCGCGGTCACGTACAGGTGGGAGCGGGACGGGAGCGGGGCGGGAGCGGGGCGGGGCGGCGGGCTGACCGTGCGCTGTGCCCGCAGCCTGTGGCACGAGTACGGTCTGTGAGCGGACGGCGAGACGGCGGCTCTGCTCTGCTACGGCGCCGCGGTCCCGGCACGCCGCCGCTGGCTGAATAAAGCGGTGAGTGCGTTAACTGCGTTAATTGCTCGGGCCGAGCCCGGCGCACGGTTCCCACGGCAACCGGGAAGGCGCCCGCCCGCGTCGCTCGTAAGATGGCGCCGCGGCGCCGCGACTACGTTTCCCGTCGTGCCCCGCGAGCGACGGAGCGGGGAGGCCCGGCGACGGCGCGCGCAGCCTGCTGGGAGTTGTAGTGTGCGGCGGCGGGGCCGGGGCGCGGTCCCGCGCTCGCGCCGAGCCCTCCTGACGGTGCCGCCCCACCGCGCCCAGGCAGACGCAGCTCTGCACATCGCCGCCGTCCCTTCTCAAGGTTTATTCTCGGGCCGGTGAGTGCTGGTGATAGCGGCGGTGCGGTGACACAAAGTGCGAACGGAGCGGCGTCGTTCCCCCGGGCTCCGCCTCCACCGGGGCCGGCCGCGCCGTCGCGCGGAAGCGCTGCCCGACGGCCCCGTGCGGGCTACGGGGCGCCGGCCGGGCCGGGCTCCCCGCTGGGGACGGAGCTTTCCGCGGGGCCGCGCTCCTCCGCAGGCACGCCGTCCCCATCCACGCTGGCCTGGCGAACCACGCGGCACGGCCGGGACCGGGGCCGCGGTCGTAGGGGAGCCGCCTCCAAGCCCCCCGCGTCCCCCTGGCCGCCCTCGGACACCTGTGGGAGCGGCAGCCTGCAGGAAGAGCCGCGCGCTCCGCGGTGCCCCCGCACCCACCGTCAGCCACCCGCAGCCCCGCCGCCCCCCGCCGCCTCCTCGCGCTCACCTCCCCGCCCGGGGGCTCCTCGACGTTCTCGGGCGTTTCCATCTGGCTGATGCTCCGCATGACCGCACACAAGGAGATGCGGGGACGCCGGGCGGCTCCCACCGGCCCCGGCCTGCCGTCCTCCTCGGGGGGCGGTGAGGACGCGGGTGGGGACGGAGGCAGAGCCCCGGCGTCCCGCGGCACGGCCCCCTCCGGCTCCGCCGCCCGTTCCGCCGCCTGCGGCTCCCAGAAGCTGCTGTGCCGGCTGCACACGAGCACCGCGGTGGGACCCCGCGGGCACCGCCTCCATCCCCCCCAGGTACGCCGTCCTACGGCCCGCCCCCCCCCGCCGTACCCACCTGGCGTTCAGGATGCCCTGGTAGAAGTCGAGCTGGCGCATGAAGCCGGGGTTGGGCTGCACGCCGGGCCGGCAGCGCCGGACGTGGCGCAGCGCCCGCTCCAGGGACCACCCGAACTCCTTCATGGCGTAGGCCAGCACCGTGGCTGCCGAGCGGCTCAGTCCCATGCGGCAGTGCACCAACGCCCGGCCTCCGCGGGCCCTGCCGTGTAACCTCACTGCGATGCGGCTCCTGGGGACCCAACGGCCTCCCAGCGCCACCTGTGTCCCCAAGGATACTGCCCCGCACTGCTCCTAAGGCCTCCGGTTCTCACGGTGCTCTCAGCATCCCCCGTGCCCCACAGCTGTGTCATTCTCAGTGCCCCACGACCCCTCTCCCCTCCACTGTCCCCGAAGCTCCCAGCCACCAAGATGCCCCCCCGGCACCCCACAGCACCCCCCGCTCCCACTAACTTGATGTCAGAGAGGAAAAGGAAGGTGTCGTTCCAGTGGGGCAGCAGCTGAGCCGTCTCTTCGTCGTACACCCGCACATTCATGTAGTTGAACAGTGCTGGGAAGAAGTTGTCAATCTCCCGTGCCACGTTCAGGATGTGGGTCACACTGTGGGGCAGTGAGCATTGAGGCCATACCCGTGCCCCATTGCCCACCGCCAATCTCATAGCCGTTGCTCACCAGTTCTGCTGCAGCTCCTCCAGGTTGGCTGCGTTCCACTCAGAGCCCTACGACGGTGGTGATGCTGTGGGATGGCCGGGAATAGTGGTACCCCACAGGCCGTCCCATGCCCACCAGGTAGATGTGTGGGAAGACGTGTGAAGGCCGGTCCATTTGCGCCAGCACCAGCAGCATCTCGTTGTCAATGAAATCCTTGTGCTGCTCCAAGCTGTGCCCCACGCGCCGCTCCAGCTCTGTCCTCACCTGGCACCCACCAAGGGGTGAGGGATGGTGATGGGACCCCTGTGTCCCCCCCTCATCCCCCCGGCACTCACCTCCTTGGAGGTGATGCTCTCCAGGTCAGCAGATGTCAGCACGTCCCGCAGCAGTGCCCGCACCGCGCGCTCTGTCGGCTCTGTGGGCAGCAGCAAGCCGGGCCGCACGGACTCCAAGTCGGCCATGGCCAGCCATTCATTGAGGCAGCTCTGCTCCGAGTCCAGTGCTGCTGCGTATTCCTGCACCCAGGCCAGCGCTGGGCCCCCTGGGATGTGCCCACCCTGGGCTGCCAGCTCACAGGCACGGTGCAGCTCCTGCAGCACAGCCCTGGACACAAGCACTGGTACGTTGAGTCTGCTCCGTGGCTGCAGCCATGCCAGCCCCTCCCCAGCACCATGTCCCCCCGAGCCCAGCACGACTCGTCTCTGGTCACGGTGCCCAAGGTGCCGCCCCGCACCCTTGCATCCTGAGCCCTTGTCCTAAACAGTAATGCACACATCCCCACGCCCATGGCAGTGCCCATGTCCCCACGCCCACAGCCGGCTCACCACATGGTCTGGATGGAGATGGGCTTGAAGATGCGTGTCTGCCCCCCGGATGTCACACTGAACCCCCTGGGCACCGCAGGGACACACGTGGCTCAGGGTGGGCGCTCTCGCTGCACCCCTCCCAGCAAGCAGACCTCATCCACCCCACCGCACTCCTTACCCATCACCATCGAGGAAGACCTGGGTGTTGCTCCAGAGGGGCAGCACCATGCCCAGGGTACAGCAGTCGGCCCTGGGGCAGGCAGGGGTCAGTGTGTGACCACCACCCGTCCCCCTGACCCCGCAGCCCTGCTCACCCTTCATGTGGGAAGTCCACGCCCAGCAGTGCTGTCTGTCCCTCGGCGCCCACCTCCTCTGGCCGCACCACCAGCAGGTACCGCACCCGCTGTGGCTGCGCTGACTCCAGCTGCACTGCCTGAGGTTGGGGCCTGAGTAGGGGTCCCACCACCCTGGGGCTGCTCAGGCCCCCAGGCAGACAAGGGGCTGGGCCAGGCTGGATCCCAGCACGCCCCCATCGCTATTGCCATCCCGTTGTGCTTCCATACATCCCATCCCAGTCTTGTCCCTGTCCCCAATTCATCCGCATCCCATCATCATCTGCATACCTTTCCCCACACATTCCAACCCCACTGCCATCGCTGTCTATATCCTGTCCCCCACCTCCACTCCTGTCCCATCCCCATCCTGTTCCCATTTCCATCCTCATTTCGCCCCCATTCCCATCACCATCAGCACACATATCCTCATCCCATCCCGTCCCTTTTGCCATCCCATTTGTATTCCCATCCGCATCCTCCTTCCACACTGCCCCGATCCCTGCCACCGTCCCCATCCCATCCCCGACCCATTCCCCATCCCGTCTCATCACCACCCCCACCCCACACCATCGCGGTGGAGGCCCCACCAGCTGGATGGCGTCCTGTGATCTCAGCAGCTGCATCATGAGCTGGAGGTGCCGCTCCTGCCGCCCGGGGGGCACGGCGGGGGCCGGTCCGGAGGCCGGCGGCTCCTCGGCAGGCAGCAGCAGTGCGGCCCCCCGGACGAGCGCGAAGCTCTGCCTGGGGCAGGAGAGCCGTGAGCGGGACGGGATCACCCCTCGCTACCCCTTATAACCCCCGGTGCCCCCATCTCACCGCCGCTGCAGGTGGCCGCGCCTGGGCGCATCATCTTCCTGCAAAGCACGACAGGGAGAGTGAGCGCGGCCACCCCGGCGGCGGCGTGGGCAGACGCGACCCCCCCGCCGTTTGCGGCACGGGCACGGCGAGGGGGGTTCCGCTGCCGGCCGAGAGCTCCAGGCGGCTCGGGGACCCCGTTCCCCCGGGTGAAGCGCTCGCGAGCGGGGGGTGGGGGGGACAAGGGGACTGCCCCAGCCCGACCCGGCGGCACCTCCCGACCCTCCCCGTTCGAACCGTGCCTCGACGGCGCTCCCCGCCCGCACTCACCACGGGGGGAACCCCGGCGGAGCCCGGCGCCCGCCGCACGGTGACCAACGCCATGCCCCGTCCAGGAAGCGCCGTCACGGCCCCGCCCGCAGCGGGCACGGAACGGCCCGGGATGGGCAGCGGGCACAGCCCCGCCCCGCCCGGCGTCGGGACTTCCCTGCGGGCGGCGGGGGCGGAAGGGGCACGGGGCAGAACTTTGGGGAGCGGGAGGGAGGGACCCCGGGACGCCCCTCCCCGCGAGACCCGCCCCCGTCCCGCAGCCCCCGCCCCCTCCCGCAGCCCCCGCCCCAGGCAGAGGCCACACGCGGCTGTGGATAGAGCTCTGTATGTGTCCGTGTACACCCGACGGGAGCCGCGCCCCGCGGCGGCGCTCGGGGCCTCCGACGGAGCGGGGCGGGCGGACGGGGGGCGGCTCGGCTCCGGGAGCGCCGGGCGCCGCTGCCCCGTTCCGGGCCGCTACTTGTCGGTGAGCGACAGGCGCAGGATGCGCTGCAGCTCCTCGTCCTCCTCCCGCCGCCGCCGCTCGCGCTCCTCCTGCTCGCGTTCCGACAGCGCCATGGCCAAGCGCAGCTGCTCCGCGAAGCCGCCGTAGCCGGGCTCGGCAGGGGCGGTCCCGCCGTCCGCCGGGCCGGGCCCCGCTTGCAGCAGCAGGCTCTCCTGCAGCGCCCTGCGGGACAGCGCTGTGACCGCGCCCCCCTCGGACCCCGCGCCGCTCCCGCCGCCGTCCCGCCC